GACTTTAATTAGTCATCTGGCAATTGTTCAATAGCATCAATAAGTTTTTGATGATGTATAATTTGGGTTACTTTTTTATCACTAGCTGATTGAACAATATCTTGATAAATTAGTTGAAGTTCATTATTATTTATTTGTAAAAGTTTTTTATTAATGATTTGAATTTGTTCATCTCACTTAGAAGCCTTTTGTGCATTGACTGATACTTGATTAGCTTTATATGCTTTAAGTTTTAGTTTGGATTTTGTCTATTATATATATATATAACACTTATTAATATATATTTTAAAATGTTTCATTGCAATTTTTAAATATGAATTTACTATCAAACTTTTAAAGTGAGTTTGTATAAGGTTTAAAAACAAAGTTATATATAAGATATTGGTCATACATCGATTAATATCATAAAATTTGGTTTGTTAGAACAAATAGTTGGCTGACATATGCCATGCAGCAGCATATTTCAGCCAATCATTTGCTCTAACAAAACAAATTTTATGATATTTATCATCACATGATCCAATATTGATGTTATCGTACAATTATAATTATAATTTTCAAGTCATTTTTGGCTAACTGAGTTTTAATTTGAGATTGTTGTACTTATGTAATAACATACAAAAAATAACAAGAAAAAAAAACTATAATCATAAGAGTTTGCACGATAAGTTTAAATATTTGCTGAGTTATATAAACTTTATAAATTTGTACAGTTATTTTTAAAAAAAACTGACAATTTTTAATTTTTTATTAAAAAAATTTTCATTAATATAAAATATTTAATAATTCCAGGTTTTTTTTTTAAAAAAAAAAAAATAATTACTTTGGAACAATATAAAACAACACTTTATAGTTGAAAGAGCAAAGAAAAAAAGCAAAGGTAATCATGAGAATAATTTATTTATTTATTTATTTTTAAACAGTTATGCCTTTATTTACAAATTTTGTGTAACTATTATACATTAATACAACAATTTTTTATGAATGTGATTCTATTCAATAAAAGCTACCCAAGCATACTGCCCAAGTCGACCTGTTATAACAACTGTTCACTTCTCTTAGGATTCAAAACTTTCTAAAGATTTTGTACTGTAAAAATACTCTCTTGATACTTCACTGGCTGTTGTATGGCCTATTCATGACTGTTAAACTTTTCCTTCTAATTCTTCATTCTTCTCAAGGAGCACGAGACAAAAGGAGGAAATTTTCAAAAAAGTTGTACAAAAATGAAAGAAAAAAAAAACAAAAAAGAAAGAAAAAACAGACACAAATTGC